TCAGAGCAGATTCAGGACCAGACCTAAAGTTTGAGATTTTTTTTTATAGACAAAAAAAAGTTCGGGACACCATTGAAACCGCACCTAATGCTGGAGTTTTTTTTAGTTTATTAGGCTCTAAAAAAATTGTATTTAGCAGCTTTAATTGTACGAGTCACTTAGGGCCTATTTGGCAACTTGCCAAATAGTGATTGATTATGTTCTTTTGTTCCCAGAATTAGTTTGGGAACAGAAATCCGTTTGTTAAATTTTTTCTACCTAGAATCAGTTTTGGAACAAAATCAAGAATAAAAAAAAAAAAGTAGCTTCTTGATTCTGGAACAATTTTTTCAGAACTGATTCTTCTTAGTTTTTTTCTTTTTTTTGGTTGTTATTGTTCATCGGCCCCGCCACTCGCTGGCCGCTGCCCATCGCTCGTTGCCGCCGGCCGTCGGCGACAGGCCACAGGCCAGGGCTGGCGAGGGCGGCTTGCGGCCTCGCTGTCGCCACCCAGGCGACGAACCTAGGTGACGAGGGCGAGGTCGGCCTCGCTTTGGCTAGGCGAGGCTCGACCTCGCCCAGATCAAGTTAGCGACGGCGAGGTCGGCCTCGCCAGATCTGGGCGAGGTCAAGCCTCGCCCAGCCAAGGCGAGGGCGACGGTGAGGGCAGTGACGCCCTCGCTGGCCCTGGCCTGTGGCCAATCGTCGACACCGGCGGCCGACCATGGCCAAGAAAGGAAGGGGAAAGAAAGAAAAAAAAATAGAAAAAAACGAAATAAATATTAAAAATTTCAAAATATTATTAATAAAAAGAAATTTGTGTAGTTACCAAACGCATTTCTGTTTTTTTTTCTATTCTAAGAATACAAATTTTGGGCAGTTACCAAACGTCTTCAAATACTTAGAAATTATTTCTGGACACAAAATCAAAAAGAATCATTTCTGCCTAAAATCAGATTCTGGACACAGAATAATTTTCATGCGCAGCCTTAACAACCCCAAAAAACAAAATGTACGAGTCACTGAAAATTGTCTTGCTCTCTCTTTTCTTTCCAGTACATCTGAAAAAAGAAATTTCCGTATTTCCCATAATTCCTCTGGAAAATTGATTTCGCTCGTACGTACGTACTGGTGACCTGACCGCGACCCGAGGCCACGTGGCGCGATCCTAGTGAGGGACATTTAAGGAAGGGCACGCGGGTCTGGAGTGGTTCTGCTGCCTGCCCCTTCTTTTGACCTTTTTGCCACTCTCGCCCCGGGACCGCCGTACCGTCGCAGCAGAGAGGACAAAATAGTCCCCGCGAGGGCGTTTTCGGTAATCCACAGCGACGGTCGCAAGCTATTTTTCCTTTTCTCTTTTTTTTTTTCTCTTTTCCTTCGAATTGCAGCGACCACAATTGATTGAGCCAATGATGATGAGTGTGGGGGTTGACATTTGTCGCATGTGTACGGAAGCTGAAGCGTTGGTAATTGATTTTATTTTTTATTTTTTATTTTTTATATTTAATTGCATGTTTGGCTGTTTTTTTTTTGTTTTTTTTGGGGGGTCGAAGTTGTAGGTGTTGTTGACTTGTTGGTTACTATCCATGATCGTGGGATTTGAAGTTTGGTATAATTCTCGAGATGGTTGGAATCATTATGTCCAAAGTCAACCATTGATTTTTCTTCTTCTTTATTTTTTCTTCATTTTATCTTTTCGTTTTTGCTCTTTCATCGATTCGATTCCCCGTTGCATCTTCCTTTTTTTGGACCCGATGAATCCCCCGAGGGGGGTGGGTAAATTCTAAATCGAGAACCCGAAACCTATGTTATTAAAGTCGATTCCCGATTTCTAAAAAGAGGAACCAAATCGCTTCCCGAGGTCAACACGGGAACCGGGCCTAGCCTTTTTTTTATTTTAGCTTTTATGGCAAAAGCCACCGGAAATCCTAAGTTATGCTTATTTGACACATTTACCCTAAGTCTCTTTCCATAATACAAAAAATTTCAAACCTATACCCGCGTGACATAGACGGTGAGAATAGTTGAAAATTTGCTTGCATGAACGCTATAAAGTATATAGTATTGACATGGCGCAAATATGACTTAAGAAAAATAAAAGCGACATTATTTTGGCTGACAAATCATCTAACAGAACTTTGACGTATGATAAATATGTCGCTAGAAAAATTTTAGGGAGCAAGCATGGTTTGGGGTGACATAAAAAAGTTCAGGGTAAATGTGTCACAGTAATCATAGTTTAGATTTTTTGGTGATTTTTTTCCAAATTTTTAAGTGAAGTTGAGGAAATAGCTATAATTTGAGGAAAATATGTCATGTGAATAATCCGTGGCCTAATGGTTAAGGCATCAACGAATTTCCTAACATTTTCCAACATATCTATTGTTTTATCAAACCAAAGTTTAAAAAAAATCACGAGACCAGACTTGAAAATCGAGAATCGAACTGGTCAATGCCGATTACCCAATTTTCTACTCAAAAACCTACTTGATCCTTGTCTGAGCCGGCCCGATTGTTCACCCTCTACGCACTATACTTTTAACCATATGTAAAATGGTAGGCATTTGAATTTAATTCATGTATTTCGCCGCCGTTAAACATGGTGAGGTATTAGTGATAGTGACCTCTCCTGATTTTACTCGCTTAATAACAAACTCAGCTACCAGTTATACTGTAATTCAAAGCTTAAAATCAAGTTCCAATAGGATAAAATAATTTCTATCAAGCTTGAACAATAACGTGGTAACTCTTGACCGATCGACTTACGAGCTAGCCAGATCGAGCGACCGAGACAGGTCGAGCAGAAGCTTGGAAGGGGAAAATAGCATAAACCCACGCGATAAAAGAAGAGATAATTGAGCAGCTTAGCTTTTTATTTAAAGCCTCAATATAAATGAGATGATAAAATATTGTCATTGTTCTCGCACTTAAGCTGGGCTTGGCTTTTCCCTTCATCTGTCACAGCAGAAGCAGTGGTCACCAGCAAACCTAGGGTCGATTCATTCTTTCAGGAGTACTCGAGACGTCTATTAGCGTGATGAATTGCAAGCTGATCGGTCATCGATCCCTATCATGCATCTAACCAGGCTCGGACGCAAGCTCGCCGTTGCCGTGCTCGCCGCAAATGGTGTCTAGAGGGTCCAACAAGCTCATGTTCTCGCATGTTGCCCTTTGGACGTGAATCTGCCATTAAGTTTTTGAGATGGATCGACAGCACTTTGTCACTTTATTCAGATATGAACAAATATTCGCACTTCTCTATCACGGTCATGTACGCATGGTTAAGGTTTCTGGAGGCAAGCAAGGTGGGGATTTGCTGTCAGAGATTTGTTGGGTCTTTAATCTACAGGTACAGTTAGCTTTGGTTCCTATCAGGTTGGCGATGCCCCCAGAATCAAATCAATTGCTGTCACCTTTGATTTCAATGTTGGGTAATTAACTTCTATTTTAATTAATGATTTATATCACGAAAAACTTCAAATGATACGTCTGTGATAGATTTATCTAGAACTATTTTTTTGACTACAAAAAATCCGAAACTGATATACTTAGGAAAAATTTACCCTAAACTAAGTTTTTGACCACCAAAAATCCTAAATGGGTATACTCATGACAAATTTACCCTTTGTAAAATTGAATTAATACCATGAAAAATCACAAATTGGTGTAAAACCCCAAACCGGTACACCCGTCAACTGTTACGTGTTTACCAACTTAACAATTTGACGGTAAAATTTAATGAAAATTAATGGAGGGTAAATTTCTCACAAGTGTATCAGTTTAAGGTTCTTTGTGGTATTAACCTTTTAATTAAATGGTAAATTCCCTACTTTGTTGGTTACTTACTTACTTGTAATTGGGCCTACATCGATAAGTTACTAACCGGTAAGATTTTGTTTTAAGCGGTTAATTTCTACTCAAATAGATGACTTACATTAATACTCGAAGTTTGTATACTTCTCCCGATGATTTACAACCCTAAAAATGGACCTATATTGGTAAGTGGTCAATATTACAAGTAACATACTATCTTCACTTTCGAAGTTTAGTTTTGAGCGGTAAATTTCTTAAACAGTTGATTTGACGTGTCGGGACATTATTCGGTTTTTTTAATTTCCTCTTGCATGCGCTGTTCTTTCTCTAAGGAAGCAAACCATGAAATCTACTCCGGCCCGAGAGAAGAACTGCTACATAGGCATCATCGTCTCTGTTGTACTAAGAAAGTGCTCATGATGTTGGACTACGAAGAAAGTATATCAAAATTGACCAAATCACGACGAAAATTTTCAACATGACCGTGCTCTTAAGTAGCTTTAAATGGAAATCACTCCTCTCGTATTTATAGCAACTTGGAAGGAACGTGTGTTGAGTAGACAGCACCATAAGTCATACTCGTTACATTTGCAACCGGCAATCCCTCCGATCAAGAAAAGTTCATCCTTACGCAGTTATATCACCAAAACCACTCTCGACCCGGGTCTCGAAATTGACCATGAAATCTACTCCGGTCCGAGAGAAGAACTGCTACATAGGCATCATCGTCTCTGTCGTACTAAGTAGGAGCTCATGATGTTGGACTACGAAGAAAGTACGTCAAAATTGACCAAATCAAGACGAAAATTTTCAACATGATCGTGCTCTTAAGTAGCTTTCAATGGAAGTCGCTCTTCTCGTATTTAATAGCAACTTGGAAGGAATGTGTGTTGGGTAGATTGCACCATAAGTCATACTCAATACATTAGTTACCGGCAATCATTCTGATCAAGAAAAGTTCATCCTTTTGCAGTTATATTACCAAAACCGCTCTCGACCCGGGTCTCGGAATTGACCATTGAGGCACTGAAGACCTAAAAAACTCGACATTCCGATCTAAAAGTGAAGTCGAACGTCTCGTATTTCACTTCTGATACTTTTTCCTAACATCAATTTATCCTCAAATTCCTTCTGCACCTAGCTAAACAGATTCGACAGAATTTAAGAAATGTCTACTGGCAGTAAATAAGGGACAAATTGCGCATCGGTTTGCACTGGAGTTGCCAAGGTATACAGCACTCTCCATGTCATCAATTAATCAATTCTCTATTCGATGTTCGATACAATAAGTTCTAAGGGGACAACACAATCATACCCTAACTAAATAATCAGGTCAATAGGATAGCGAAAATAGAATGGCCAAAATGTATACGACTCTCAACATACCTATCATCTAAAAATCTGGATCAAGATCCTGCATCAAGGTCTACACCTGCAAAACAAAGAAAGGAGTAAAACATATTTCAGTGGCTAAGAGCTTCGCAGAGAAAAAGAAAGACTCCCATGCAGTCTGACTTCTTAACATGCCGATGAAGTTCTCTGTGAAGCTCGGTCCGATAGACTGTGGAATGCCTTGCTTTTTGAATGAAATGACAATGCAAATGCAGTATGTTGCAAGGACGGAAATCCTCTTTCTGTTTAGTTGGAGAAAGATGTTATTGACATAATCGCTTTCAGGACAGATGATTCTAAATGTAGGAACATACCAATTTGATTGCTAAATGAGAGATCCCCTGTACAATACATTATATAGAGATGAACATTAATAGCGATTTACAGTCTGAAGAATGATGACTACAATCACGTCAGAAGCTCCAACATTGAGCTTAGCGTTCCAAAACTTAATAATGGATGCACAACAAACTACAGCAAGGCGACCGAATCGCAAATGTTGGCGTGAAATGCTGGGTCTCAGCTCTCCAAGATTCAATCTCTATCCTATTTACGTTGGTTAGGGCTCATTAGTGTGATTCTAGTGTGTGCGCATCGTTGCAGTGAAATAAATCAATTTTGCTTGCAAGCAAGGGAAACAGAAGTTCACCTTGCATCATCAGCCGAAGATGGATCCGGCATTCTTCCTTTATACTCTTTTTGCTTTTGATAAACTGCTGATCTCGATGACACTTCCAAAGCACTTCTAATCCCGACTCGGTTTTGGCGTCAAAGGAGCAGCTTAATTGTAGCCAGGCACAAGACAAGGAGAGTTTGTGCAGAATGGCATCTTTCCTGGAATCAGATCACCGGAGTTAATAACCAGCCAGCACATTGACATGTATTCATCACTCTCAAGGTGTAACAATTTGAAACTGACGAAAATATCGCTGGGAGACAAATAAGAAAAACTAATAGAGAGAGAACCGATCTCACCTGGAGTCATTAAGATTACCCAAAAATGGGGGGAGAAGCAATCTAAACTTCTTTCAAGCTATCTACTTTTAACCATTCATGACAATCAGCAGATAAGGTATCACTCAAGGCACATGTCTGATGAGTAAATATGGTAACGACACAACATGACCATGAACATGTTTAACGCGAAATTGAATCAAAGTTCAGAAATTTAAGACCATAAAACCAGCAACAGGATAGCTAATGGGGTTGCATTATACACATCGGAATTCGAAAGCCGAAAGGAATCACCATTCAACAAGCAGAAACAGGTCAAACTCACCACGCCCGAAGAAATGGACAAGTAACCAATGGAAGAGCTAGTGCCTGTTGAAGCTGGTGTCGCTGTCGCCGACGGTGGCGATCCAGATTTCGAGGGAGTCGTCCCATTCCCACCAGCATCACTTCCATTCAGCGCAAGCTTATATGCCGGCGTCCCATCAGGCTTGAACAACCCGTAATTCCTCTCCGACGTCGGCCCGGGCTTCATGTTCTCATTGAACAGGGCAAACACATAGACGTTCAAATCCCCATTTGGCCTCATCGGCGTCCCCTTCTTCTGCGCTATGATCTTCATCAGATTCCCGTTATACTTCCTGGCATTCTCCGGGGTCGCGCCGACCTCATCCGCATCGCCCCTCGATGGCCACCCGGTCTCCGATATGTGCAGCGTCAGGTTATGATACCCCAGCGAGGCCAGGGCCGAGTGAACCGCATCAATCTGAGCGAACAGCATGTTGTCGTAACGCAGCCCCGTGGACGGATCGACCACGCCGGGGTTCGACTCGAAGAGCACGAAATTGAGCGGGACCTGCCGGGGGTTCCCCTTGTAGGCGAAGAACGGGTAGGCATTGATGAGGAACGGCGAGCCCACCTTAGCCTGGAACTTCAGGATCTCCGTCAGGGGCGCGGCGAGATCTCGCCGGAACGCCCCGGAGGACGGCGGGTACGAGCTCTCGAGGACGGCGAGCGAGTGGGGCGTCGTGACCGTGACCTGGCCGTCGAGGCCGAGCTTGGCGAGGGCCCCCTGGAGGCCCTGCATCGCCGGGAGGACGTTCGCCGTGAGGGAGGTGTCGTTGAAGGTCAGCACCTCGTTGCCGACGGTGATGCAGGTGATCTTCGTGGACGGGAGGAAGGGCTGGATGTTGGCCTTGAGCCAGGCGAGGGCCTGGCCCGGGTCCCGCATCCGGGCCAGGTAATCGTTGCCGAGGCCGACGGTGAACTCCACGCCGGTGCCGGCGAAGGCGCGGAGGACGCGGGGGTCGGCGTCGTAGAGCTTGAGGCGGGTGGCCCCGACGGACTTCACGAGCGGGACGACGTCGTCCGGCGACGGGAGGTTGTTGGCGATCTGGCCGTAGTTGATTCCGATGGCAGACGCCGACGCGGCCGGCGGCGTGGTGGTGACGAAGGCGTGCCCTGGCGCAGAGAACAGAGAGAGGGGAAAAGGAAATCAAAACGAAAAAAAAAAAAAACGGAAGCAAGTTCCAAGAAAACACGTCTCGCGTGTTCGTGCCGAACTTTCCAAGAAACCGCATTTTGTCCTCCCGGCGGGGGAACGCGGGAGACAACCAAGCGGAACGCGCCGTTCTCGGAGCGAGCTCATTGGGTTACCTGAAACGAGGACCAGGAGGGAGAAACAGCGAAGGAACCGACCCGGCGCCATGGGGGAGCCCCCGCGCCCGAGGAATATGCGGGGGAGCCTCCTCCTTTCTGCGAATGCCGAACGACGGAGGAGGAGGAGGAGGAGCAGTGGCGGCAGGGTGACTCGCTCTGAGTGGCAGAGTATGACTTGGTAACTGAAGTGACTCCAACTCAGTTGGGGGGCGGTCGCTGTCGGAAGGCGGCGGAGGACACCGAGTGGTTGCACGCAAGCTGCCGGGGGGAAACGGACAAGAGGGTGGGGGGTGGTGACGAACGATAGGGGGGGGGCGGTGGCCCTTTTCGAGCTGGCTCGACAGGGATAGAGTGTGCGGTCGGCTAGGAATAGCGGAAAGCAGCAAGTAGCAGTTGGCTCTCTCTCTTTCTCTGTCTCGGTCGAGCTGGTAGCCTTTTATAAAATCAGCTGAAAAAGATACGGCCGCGCGCGCTGTGCGAAGATCGATTTATTGCTCTGATCGGTTTTGAATTAGGTGGACGGGAGAATTAAATGACCCACGTTGGATCCGTTAAACATCTTGGTGGGGAGTGCGGACCTGCGAATCAGCACCCCCATTCGTCATAATGTGACTGATGAGGAATAATTAAAAACTTGACACGAACAATTCGTGACGAGCGCGAAGAGATCTGGGAGAGGCTGTTTCGATTCACGCTTTCCCATTTTTTTTACCCTTTTTGCATTTTCACTCTTTTAACCTTTAAAGTGCGAGCCGTTTGGAAAGCTTTCTAATCCCCGACCCGGCATTCCGCATCGGTTCGACACTACGTGGTCGTATGATCACGTCTCCGCTTGTACGTCCTTCCTTTCATAGGAGGGAATCATGATTGATTTCTAAGCATCCCGGCCCGCTCCCAAAGGGAATCGAATATGATCTTTGACTCTGTTTTTCCGCAGCTGGTGAGAAAAATGCGGTGCTTTTGACGTTGGTTTTTTGTTCTTTGCGTTCTTTTCCGGTGGCGGGGGGGGCCCAAAAGGTGGTTGCTTCTTTGCGACTCCGTCACATGGTAGCCGTTCCCAATGAGGAGGGTGGGTGGGCAGTGGGGTTTGCTTTAGTTGGGAGCGTGAGTGTCAAGCTTCGTTCGATTGGGATTGGGTCCCCCCCTTCCCTTCTTTTCTTTCTTCCTTTTTCTTTAAATTTGTTTTTCGTTCGAAACGCATTTCCCGTTGTCGGAGAGAATAGAAGCAACAGAGAGCAGCTGAGGCTAACGTGTCGCTCATGCAAAGCGACAACAAGAAAAGGACAACTCGATGCGCGAGAATCTTTCCGTTGCGGAGGGGTGCATTGATTCCACCTCGGCCGTCTGATTGGAGAGCCTTAAAGATCTCGGCCGTTCAGTGGGGTGGGAGATGAATTTACCCCAAGCACGTCCAATATAAATACAGTCCCTCGTCTCGTCCGAGTCAAGTCGTCAACAGGTTCTGTATCTCACGTGCAACGACACTATATAGTCCAAGAAGGGAAACGAACAACTCGGGGAAAACAAAGGAGCATATTACACAAAAGATAAGAACCATACTATTTTACTCGACATTTGGGATCCACCAGTAGTTACTATAGAAGCGCTGCGCACAGACAGCGCCCCTCTAGATTTTTCCCTCTTTCTTTCAACGGAACTAGTGGCATCTCTCTTATTTGCTTCTGTTTTATTTTCCTTTTCTAGCCAAGCAAGTACTAAGCCTCTGTCAGATTTGCACCGTTTCGCTCTCCGACCGGGCCGACACAACCTCGCAAACGCTGATCTCGTCCATCCTCGAAGTCCATGTTAAAAGACATAGCATATACATGTTGGTAGCGCTTAAAAACCGAGCGCGTATTAGCCCGGTTTACTCAAGGAGTGGCAATGTTTTCCTTGGCGAGGGGGGTGACTTCTTCCCCTTCGACACCAGGTTCGCCACCGGCAACCTCAAGGCTCAGAAGCATCTTTTCCCAGAGTCTCGCTGGTTCCTGCACCCAGAGAAAGATAAAAGGAAATTCTCATTTTTTTTCTTGAGCCCTCCGTGACACTAAGCGAAGATTAGAGTACAATTCGAAACCATGGCGATTCACTGATTCATCTGTCCATGGACGAAGTTGTTTGAAGAGTGTCGATGATGATGTAATTTTGGACTCACCTTCCACGAAAGATCTTGAGCCATGCAGTTACTGATCATCTCTTTCAGGGCAGCTGTGCCATAAGTTGTGAGTGCTCTCTTGACTGTTCTCGCCACAGCATCCACATCAGCTGGATCGACCTCATCACACTGTACAATAGCTCGTGTTAATTAGTATGACTAGAACATCGGTCACATGGAGAGGAAAAGTACAAAAGTGGATTCTCTCTTCTCCTTGACAATGTTGGAGTTACTCACGTCGAGACTGAAGCCTCCCATTTGGAACCCTGTAAACCCTTCTTTAACAGTGTCGACGAGTCCACCGGTTGATGCGACAATTGGCACCTGGTTCGAGATTCATTTCAACGAGGCATCAACTTCTAGGGCATAATCAGTTAAATCTTCCAAATTGCTAGTCATGTAGGTTAAATTGTGTTAGCCTGGGGAACACAGAGCTTCGGAATTTACCGTTCCATATCTCATGGCTTGCAACTGTATGAGACCACAAGGTTCAAATCTGCTAGGAATCAACAAGAAATCAGCCCCAGCAATGATCATATGGGCCAGAGGCACATTGAATTTTGCCACTCCCCTAGCGTTGCTTGGATACTTGATCTCCAGCTCCTCGAGCTGCCTTTCCATAGTCTTTTTGCCAGTTCCCTGAGAGTGAAAATATTTCACTGTAAGCATCAGCTTTCTAGCGTGCTAAAGCAGCATTAAACTAGACACATTTTATAGTAGAGGGACAAAAGAAGAAATGCCGTATGTTTATGCTTTATCGTAAAATTACTTACCAGTACAACAACTTGAACATTCTCCCCAGTGAATTTCGGAATTGCTGCCGCTAAGATATCAGATCCCTTCTGCTCTTCCAGTCTACCAATGAAACCGATCAGAGGGATGTTTCTGTCAACAGGCAAACCGAAAGCTGCTTGAAGAGCTTCCTTCAATAGAGGCTTTGCGTCCATAACCTATAGATGACATTTGTTAGACAACCTCATTGTGTCAAGTACCGTCTTTCAAAACTAATACATCATTCTCGATATAAAACTTTACGGTTGTCTCGTCATAGTGGATATCTATGTACTTGTCAGTCGCTGGATTCCACTCTTGAACATCCATGCCATTGACAATGCCAGTGATGCCACATCTCCGGATGATGTTATCTAATTCCACACCCTTTGGAATACCAGAAATAAGTTCCTCTGCGTAGTATGGACTCACAGTTAAGACCCTGTGTGATTCTATAATTCCAGCCTTCATCCAGTTGATTTTCCTTCCCTTCACAGGCTTGAGATGCCTGCAAGATAGACCAACAGATCCAGCAGAAAGAAAGATGACGTTAAGGATACCATACTAGAATATTCTTGCAAAATGGAAGGTCGCATTAGACCCAGATGACATACGCATCAATGAAGTCAAAAGAACTCTTATATTCATTAGGTAGATTGAGAAGGGAGAAATCTGCAAAGGCATATCTTCCCTGGTAGGCGATGTTGTGGATGCAGAATGCTACCTGGAATCATGTTTATCTACTCAGCTGCATGTCCGGACAATATAATAAAAAATGTGTCATAAACAATATAATATAAGAAGAAAACTTACCTTGGCATTTTTGTAAAGCCCTCGAGATTGGTACATTGTTTTGAGGTAGCATGGAAGAAGAGCAGTGTGCCAGTCATTGGCAACGAAGACAACATCTTCACCTGCTTGACGCACCGATAAAATTTACCTTTCGATCAATATTAGAACTGAAAACTGACCCTTGACGAAACAATGATAGAAAAGATTCCCACCATATGGTCCTGAAAATTTTTTGCCGTTGTTTAAATTCAGAACCCGAGGTGCCTCTAGAGCAGCCTGCAAGCAATACAAGGTGTATTACAAAAATGTAAACAGGAAAGATACACACACACATGAGAGCGATTACATCAACTGACATTGAGATGTCATTTCTGACATTTATAGAATCACAAGGCAATTTCATCTTTTCTACAGTGAATGGTCTGGATTATGCAACCTTTTACCAGGGTAAAGCATGGGGAAAAAAGTACTTTAGCAACAATCTTATATTCTAAATGTGCCAGTAGTACGGCTGGAAGATTTGTCCACATGCAAAGAAATTAAAACTCACCTGGCACAACAAGCTAAAGCGAAGTTGGTTATCCTCGTAATCTTGCCCTGTCCGTGGCCCATATACTTTAGAGCCTGTCTTGCCCCATACCTTCAATGTTAACAAATCAAACAGTCAGGGGGAATTTACTTCATCACATAATTCTGCAAGAGTAGCTTTGCAGACAAGCACAAGAGAATCAATTGGGAAGGATGATCTGCACCTTCTCAAGAAACATTGGGTGATCAACAAATACACGATCAACTCCCCGTTTGTAGCAGTGGAAGAAGCAAACAGTTTCAATTCTGTCTCCAACTTTTATCTGCACAGGAAGACTTGTCTATGAGCAAATATTTGCCTATAATCAAACTCTGCAGATTATGAAGCAAAAAAATAATATATATATTCATTCCGTCCGAATGACATGAAGAAACCACTAACCTCAACTAAAACGCTAGTATCCCACCCATCTTTGTATTGATCATAGCGAGGAGAAACAGTCATGACTCGATGCCCTCTGGCCTATAGAAAATCATGCAAAAATTGGTCATACACACTTTAGCGGAGACAGGGCTACTTGAACACGAACTGTCAGAAGTGGTGATTACAACTGCAAATCAAGAAGGAAGTATGAAGAAGACATGCGAAGGAAGACAACCAACTTACTGCCATTGCCGGTGGCAAACCACCAAGAACATCACCAAGTCCTCCAGTTTTGCTCCAAGGAGCCACCTCAGCTCCCACAAAAACCAAGTTCATCCCCTCTCTGCAGACAATTTTCCCAGCCAAACTGCCATTTCCAGCCTTGTTAACTTTTCTCTCAACTTTCTCCCTGGTTGCTTTTGCATGAGATCTGAGAGCATCCAGCTTGTTCACGGATCTCAATCCGTTGTGGGTCATTGACGCATTCCTTAGGCTTATCTGTGCCAAGTTTGCTTTAGCTTCGGCTCCCGAGTTCCCATGGCGATTCACCTGTGCGCTTCGTGATACAAAGTGTGCAGCAGTAACGGTCGCCATTACGATTACCTTTGCTTCGAAATCTGCAATTTAAGATAAGGAATTGAACAGATTTTCCCAACTCTTCAATGGATGCATCACCAAACTGAAAGAAACGAAACAAACTTTCACTTCCATTCAGGATAAATTTCTCATTCTCTCCTTTTCCTGTGTTAAGAGCTCCGTACAGTCATCGCGTGATTCAGAATCTGGGTTCAGAATTAGCATAAAGAAAACTACCGCAAAATCAAAGAGCTACCTTCTATACCAAAATCAGTACAAAATAATTGGCCGCTTAACTGATAGCCTGTTGAATTTTGGGAGCGCAAGACATCAACCTCTGCTAATCTCCCTCTAGCAATGAGGAAAAACGGAAGGAAAAAAAAGGACTATCGAAACGAAAACGAATCCTCCATACAAAGGCAAGAAGAAATCAATCGACTACTCCAGCGAAGAAGAAAAATCGACGCAGACAGATTCGAACCGCAGCAGCAACCAGGTGATCAATCAGTCGACCACTCGTTCAGAAGTCCGACTCGAGTGATCGAACAGAGCCTGGGGAGGCTCGAACCGCGAGCTTTTCAGGAACTGATGCTTCCAAGACACTGAAAACTCAGACGCGCAACTACTTACTGATCCGGAAATCCAGCCTCGGGTGGCGACAACGGCGCAGAAAAACTCGCTCCACCGCTCCCGACGCTGCGGATTCCGGGCATCGTCGACGGCATCACTCCGCGCGCAGCTCGCGGGAGCATGAAAAATCCGCAACGGACGCCGTCGAAGCTCGAGCCTGACGACTCTCGCTTCCCTTTGCGAGCGAGGGAGCGAGCGTGCCAGAGAGAGAGAGAGATAGAGAGAGAGAGAGAGGCTTACGAGTTGGAGTCGGAGGAGATGCCGGCGGCGGTTGAGGAGAGGCTCGATCCGGGGGGAGCAGAGGAGGAGGAGGACCGGCGGTCTTCTCGGCGGCGACTCGGCGATCAGCTTTCGGTGCAGCTCGGTCACTGCTGAGTCGAGCTTCACGAGGGGAGGAGCACCATATTTGTAGAGGCTGATCCCAAGTGACAGCGAGCGCGGGACGTGGCACGTGACGAGGAGACGAATGATAACCATCCTATTTTTGTACAGAATTAATTTTCTATTCTCGAAAATAGATTTTGAACAAAAACTCATTTGATAAAATAATTTTATTTTTCTATTTCTGGAATAATTTTTTATTTCAGAATCTGGACCAAAAATCAGAACAAAAAAAGAGAGTAGGTTTTGTGTTTCTGAACGAGAAATGAAAATCATTTCTAAAAGAACCTGTCTTCTCTCTTCAAAACACATCTGTTCCTAAATTTGGCCCCGGTCTGACCTGGTTAGACCGATTTAAATCAGTTCGGTCCGGTTCATTCCTGGCAGGAAAATAAAAAAAAATTCTAAAAAAAAATTAGAAAATTCATAAAAAAAATTCATAAAAAAAAAATTTATAAAAAAATCTAGAAAATCCGGAAAATTTCTAAAAATCTCAAAAAAATTTCAGAAAATCCATAAAAATTTCAAAATTGCAGATAAATTCATAAAAATTTTCAGAAAAAAAAGTCAGATTTCGGAAAAATAGGACATTTGGTGAATATTTTCAAAAAAAAATCAAAAAATGAAAATTTTCAAAATTTCACAAGATGGTTTAGAATATATGTGGCCACCCACTTTGAGTGAAATTTAAATATTTTGAGGTGCCCAAATGGTATTTTTGAAGACTCCTTAGTTTAGAAATTTAAAAGGGGTTTTAACCCCTAAAAAACCCTAAAAAGGATTTAACCCCCAAAAGGGGTTATAAAAAAATGGATTTCTGTTCTGGGAAATAGAAATTTGTGTTGTTATCAAACGAGTTTCTATTCCAGGAAATAGGAATTTTATGCTGTTATCAAACGGATTTCTGTTCCAGAAATAGAAATTTTTGGTCGTTATCAAACGGATTTCATTTCTTAGAAACTCGTCCTAGGAACAGAACTAGAAAAATCTATTTCTATTCCAGGAAATGTTTCTAGAACAGAATGGTTATCATTCGCGCTTAGTGGCCGGTGGCTCTCCCGTTCCCTAGGCGCCTCTAGATTTGCTTCTTCGCGCCCCTTTTTCTAATCACGTGCGCTGCACTAGTTTTTTTAATATGGACTTTTTTATTAAAATAGATGAATCCTATTTAAGAGGATTCCTAGGCACTTAGGGCGCGCATGGTAACATTTCTATTCCAGAAATAGCTTTTTCTATTTTTATTCCGTGGATGAGTTTCTGAGCAAAAATACATGTTTGATAACGATACAAAATTTCTTTTTCCGAAATAGAAATTCGTTTGATAACGACACAAAATTTCTTCTTTCTGGGCAGCGGAGGACGGGGGGTGGCAGGGGGGGGGCTAGAGGATGGTGGCCGACGGTGGGAGGCGGCCAGCCGGCGTTGGGTGGTGGAGCATGACCGCCGGCGACGGAGGACGGCAGTCAGTGGTGGGTGGCGGCCGGTGTCAGGCGACGGAGGACGGTAGTTGGCGGCAAGAGGCGGTCGGCGGTGGCCGGCGGGCGGGAAGGTGGGTGACGGCGGGAGCCGGCCGACATGTGACGGCGAAGGACGCAGGAGGCGGCGGTGGGCGGGTTGCAGCTGATGTTGGGCGGCGGCAAACAGCGGAAGATGACGGTGGGAGTAGGCGGTCGGCGAAGGATGCCGGCGGTAGGCGGCCGACAGCGGGAGGCGGTTGACGGCAAGAGGCGGCTGGCGGGCGGCGGCGGGACCCGGCTGGCAGGTGGCGGCGAAGGACGCGGGAGGCGGCAGTGGCGGGTTGCAGCCGGCATTGGGCGATGGCGAATGGCGGAAGATGGCGGTGGGAGGAGGTAGTCGGCGAAGGACGCCGGCGGTAGGTGGTTGACGGCGGGAGGCGGGAGGGGGTCGATGGTGGCGGGAGGCGGCCGGCTGCAATAGTGAGCGGCAAGGGGGTGGCCGAATAGTAGCGAGGGCGAGCGACAATAAGAGTTTTTATTTTTCATTTTTGTTTCAGAAATAGAAAAGTAATTTTATTTTACTTCTGATTTCTGTTCCAAACCTATTTCTGGAATAGAAATTTGTTCCAGAAATAGAAAAATGAAATTGCGTTACCAAACGGATTTCTTTTCCAAACCTGTTCTTAGGAACAGAAAAATAGAAAAACATAAATGATTTCATGCGCGCCCTTATTGTTAAGATAAATGCATTAGAAGTCTTGAAACTTATCACGAAAGTGCAATTAAATCCTAAAATTTTCAAAAAGTACAATAAGTTTTAGGGTTCGATTGCACTTTCACGATAAGTTTTATGACTTAATTACACTTTTTGAAAATTTTAGGATTCAATTGAACTTTCATGACAAATTTCAAGACTTCCCTTCTCTGTATCGACGTCAAAAAAAATTTCAGCACCCGATGTTGCAGCAATTATCCAGATTCAATGCGCGCAAGACAACGACTGACGCGGATCGTTCGAATGCTCGAATTAAGTCAATATATGCAAAAAAAAAAACCGAACGCAACAATATCAGCCAAAAGAATATGATATCGAAGATATTCGATGTGTCCTGACAGGTGGAGGTGCCCGATAGATTATGTAAATGGTACAATCCGAAGCTATATAATTAAAAGAAGTTAAAATCCTAAAAATATAAGCCGAATTAAATAGTAAACACATGAAGATCTAATTAAGCGGGATCGATAATCTTGCTTAACTTTTGGAAACGTCATTAAAAAATAAGGGACTGAGAACAAGGGGGTCAGAACGCGCGCTCCCGTCACCGGTACGAACTTGAGGGCCCCCCCCCCCCCCCCCCGATGCAGCGACCCACCACGCGCGCCTCGTCGAAGATATTTTCCCTGGGACCGAGACAGAGAGAGAGAGAGAGAGAGATCGAGCGGCTGTGAAACGACGTTGCGTTTTGCATTTCTTTCTTCTTCTTTTTTTTGTGGCCTATATTTTAAGACCGACGGGGGAAGCGGGGCCCCGCTCGTCGGCTACGGCGTTTTGTCCGCGGGCGGAGGTCGCCGTCGCTCGAGATTTCGTGGGTGGGCCCCGCGGGGGGCCCGAAATGGACGGACGGCGTTGGAGTGCGCAGATCGATCGCCGGTCGTTTTCGCCGCCGCGCTTGTCCCTTAGCTGGAGCGAGCTACGATCGTTGAGATTTATAGGGAAGACACCCGTTCCGCTTTGGAATGAATCGAATTCGTGCATGTACAAAACACGTGCCCTTTTTTCCAGCTGTTTCACAATGTTATCACGTCGGGAATCGCTTATATGCCCGAAATATGATTGTTCAATTTCGTACTTACGTAGATACATGTAATATCTTTGATAATTTGGTCCGTCGGATGGCAAAAATCTGTAAGTCTTGTCATCGAAATAGTTCTGCCATAATATGTAAGTTTTTTTATTATTTATAGTACAATCAGCACCCCCATTTTACGGTTACATTATAGTAACACCGAATTTTTTTTATTTATTTACCTTCAAGGAAAATGATGGTATATGTACATTCGTCTACCGAACCATATAATTTACGTCCCGTATATTACTAACAGAGCATCGGTCAAATAGGAGTGACGGGTTGTCAAATGTCGGCTAACGCCGTTGCGGCCGTATTCGTGTTAATTATCGTCATCGCATCGTTATCGAGCGACGGAGAATCAACTTTCCCCCCCCCCCATAAAAAAAAGCGAATCGAAACATGTCGATTTTTCAAACTTGATTGGCGAGCTGGATATGGGTTCGGATTTCTCCGATGAATCTGTATCGCGTTCGTGCGGGCTTCTCGTGTGACGCGATTAATCTAAGCCGATCGATAATCTTTAAGCATCGAGGCACAGGGAGTGATACATGTGGGTCATGGTTAAGTGGTGAACTCTTGTACTCTTGCTTAGATGAGTTCAAAAATTGCAAGAGTGGTGCATCACTTCTTCAATTTTCTAAGAAATCCACACATCGTCATGTGGAAGCAACTGTCTTAATCTCACCAAAATCTGGACCTACGCGACACCATTTGTGTGGTCGAAGGACATCATGTGGATTGTGGACCCCTCGATTTGGCATATGGCATGGGGATCTTTCCATATTTCCAATGCCCCACTTCTTTGGTCGACCCAAAAAGTCATTTGTGCTTTCCAAACTGTGACATTGAATTATGGTGGCCGTCGCGCGAGATCTTTCATTCAAATCATTGCTTTTTTGTGCCGCGCATGCTACGTTCTTCAAAAAAAACGAGGAAGTTGATCCCGGCAAAGTCGTCAAATGAAATCCGGGCAAGATCGCTTGGAAAAGCGTCGCGAATTTGGGGATTATCAAGCCAGTGGAATTTCCAGCATAGCATATCAAACTGTAGCAATTCAGGCAAGTCAAGAAGCCTCGCCGTTGCGTGTACCGGGCCTCGTGCGACCTCTTCCGCATGAGGTGTTCGAATCATCGGAATCCACGTTAGATGCACATTACATGAATTGGGTTTACGCAAGAATTTCTCGCGGTAGAATTGTCCGAGTGACGTTTTAACTCTATTGCTTTAACTCTATTTTAAGTAGGAGGTTCCTAAGAAAACTCCAAGGCCGGTGTTAAAGACCGTCGGCCTGGTTCACATGGCCTTTTCTGATCGTCTTCCGTCGACAATTGTTATAAGAAACTGCCAAAACGACAAAAAAATCTTGGCCAAGAACCTCTACCAACTTCGTGTCTGATTTTCATTTGATCCTTGGAAATATCCCATCGAGAAGCTTGTTCTGAAGCATTTGGCGCTGCTTCCCTTGTCCGAAAGTGGAAGTGGGAGCGCACAGGATCAAAGCGTTTCTTCTGAGGAGGGGCCCCAATGATGGCCATTTTCAGAGCTAGGAAGACAGCATCTCCTCCAAGAGCAGACGCGCATGCAACACTCGTCAGTATCTTGATATGCGTGGATGGCTTTTGGTAGATCGTGCTTGAAGAAAATCACCGCTGGAACACCATGACGGGCCAAAGGCATCTCAGAACGAGAATCGTGGATCGCATGCTTACATCTGAAGACTTGAAAAACCAGATGCAGAATATGCGTGTTCATGGGAAACTACGAGTCTACATGCCTAGTGTCCCGGGTCGACAAAGCTAGTGCGGCGTAACAGCAACAAGTGATTGAGTTCAGTAGTTCCTCATATAAAATTGTTGACTCCAGAGCTTGGTGAGCCGAAAACACCAAGCCAGCCTTCCTTCTATAATTGTTCTTAAAACCAATACAGCGAAGAGCATCCTCGTATCGGATCGTATCACACTCGGTTTAGCTTGGACATCCAGTCCCTCGAAATAGACATATAGAACACTTCGGTACAATAACTAGTTTCGGCCTGCCATGGTCTCATCAAGAGAGCAGTATTAACTCCCGACCAGTTTATGCGCAAGAGGTCAATGTCGCCTTCAAATCTCATTAGAGTTATAATCGTTCTATCATAAAACTCCTAGCACAAATGTCCCGATGTCACTCCTCCGAACTAATTGTATCATCACTTCCGCATCACTCACTCTTTACCTTGATGCCACAAAGCTCCGCTCACAAAAGTACTGGAGTACGGGAGAATTCAATCCGTGACACTAGGCAAGGACTGGTTTTACCTAGCATTGCGGAAATGTCGAGGTACGCAGGGTACGGTGCATCGATGCACCTTCCGCCTTTGAATTTGGTCGGGCACAGACCGACAACATTCCATCCGGCGCAACTCAACATTTCTTAGGCATGCCGGCTTACGAAAAAATGGATGGCCAATGAAGAAGGCGAGAAAGGCCGTTTGTGTGGACCTTCGTTTAGGAAATGCCCCTTCGAAGTTGCGATACTCAAAAAACGGAAATGTTAGAAGAATGTCTCGATATATCTGTTAAGGCTTGTTGAATACACCAAGCTGGCCTAAACAAGACTAGTGTCAAATAAATCTTTTCTAACAACAAGGCATTGTTCGCCCAATCAAAGACGTGCCCAAAAGGGTGCTTCACTTTTCGGTCTAATAAAGGATACGCATGTCAATTATGGCCCAACATTCCGCTTAGGAAATCTGATCAAAGCCTCTCCAATTTTGGCTCGGGCAGACACGACACGACACTAGGAAAGCAAAATGGGAATTCGACCCAAAAAAAAAAAGAAAACAGAGAACGCTATACTAATCCGAAGGATTCTATCCGCTCGCTCTCTTGAAAAAATAATTGGAGCTCGAAACTAAATCTCTAATTCATCTCGAATACGTAAAATGACCAATTAAAGTGATTAACTACTTCTATATCGTCTCTCGGATTTCTCCAGTTTTGATGGTACCGACCTCTCAACAAGATGAAGCAATCCTATACGGTAACAATGCCGACAAACATAACGAGCATTCAAAGGTCGTCTAACCTAGTCCGCCCTTTCTCTTTCCCTTTCGATTTTCCCCGTTAAGCACCGCCAAACCAAATTGATCCCGCGGCCGAAAACACAAAATGCTGGAGGGAAAACACCAAGAGTTTGGATGCAAATGAATCGTTCTCTTAAACGGGCTGCTCGAACCGAATGTTTACTCAAGCTCGATTCGATTCGATTCTTTCTCAAGTACGAAACAGCTAATGAACCCCATCACGATGTTGTACTTCAACACAAACATACCATAAGCGTATTGAGCACTACAATCCAAAGTCTAGCTTAAGCTCAAACTACGGGTTCGGGCTCGGGTTCGGGTTCGGGTTACAACACACCTTTTGAGGATCAAGCTGCAGGCTCAAGACCCTGCTGCACTCTTCCTAGAAACCAGTCCTCCGACCAAAACATTCAAATCCTCTCAAGTGGCCAACGTTGCCCAGCAACCAGAGACCTTTCCCGTGAAGCAACCAAAGTCCCAACCAACGACGTCACCAACCCAAGAAAGCGTGAAGCAGAATCTCAACATTCGTTCCCGAACAAGAAAAAAAAATTGTCGACACTACAAGATGCAACACCCCCAAAACTGTGATATTTCACGTTCTTGAAGTTATTAACATTACACCGTCGATCATCGAAAAATTCAAAAGCCGAGCGGCGTAAGAAGATGACGACCCAAAATGACGGGGGGAATCGAAACAGCTCTCTTTCGAATCACGCCTTACAAACAATGGTTCCTCAATAATTCAATGCCGTTCGAAAATGCGAAGAAGACGATAGGATTTGGGGGAATATTATCTGTGCGCAGTCACCAGGGTCTCGATGAACCTCAGGCCGTCGAATCTCGGCGCGAACAGCTTGCCCTCCTCCGCCGAGGACGCGCTCGAACCCATCACCACCGCCAGCTCCTTCTCGTTCGAATACGTCGAAGAGCATCCCTGACAAACGAGTTCGGACGAATTCAGCGAGAGAGAAAAATGGAAACTTGACGACAGAGAAAGAAAGAACAGCAGACAAAAAGGCTTCGCACAGCAAAATGTCGGAGAAAAGCCGAGAGAAATCACGGAATTTTCCCCCCCCAAAGACCTCTCCTAGATCGATGAAACAAAAGCAAAAGGGGGGCGCTTTATGAATGATCAGGGCGCAAATCAAGAACCGAAATGCAACGACAAGGCACGGGAACAGAGAGATCCAGATCAAACGACAGCAACAGCAAGAACGAGAACCAAAAATCGGGCGCGAAGAAACAAGAGAAGGGGGCAAAAACGACGCGCATCTCCAAATCGAATTTGGAGCCGAGCGCAACTCCGGCAGAGTGAGGCCCCTCCACAAGAACCGAACCGGGCGCAAAAAGCCCGGAAGGAAATCGAAACCCCGGAACTCACCAGCCCGTTCGGACGAGCCCAGAGGGAGGGGCTCCGATCCGCCGCGGCGGGGCCGGAGGAGAACGCCGCCGTCGACGCGGCCAGGACGGACGCCACCAAGGTGCACGAAGCCTTCACCCCGCTCGCCATCACAGGGAGAGGGAGGGACGGGAGGGAGAGAGAGAACCCAGACGCTAGGAGGAGATGGACCAAACCCGACGAGCGCCGCCGGATCCGACCCGAAGCTTTGGTCTCTCTTCTCCTCCTTCTCCTCCTCCTCTCTATCTTCTGCTGCGATGAAGTGTTTTTTTTTTCACGTCGCAGGTGGAGGAGCGTGTATATATATATATATATACACACATATATATATTATTTCATTTTTTGTGGCTACGGATCGACCCGGATCTGGCGGGTCCTGATTGAGGGGGAGTTAAACGTGGGTTTGGGTTCCGGGTATAATCCGTGAACTTGACCCGGCTCTCGAGGATAGGAGAAGCGCGTGGTCTTACGCGGACTGCGACGTGACGTGAGTGGCGCGCGGGGGCCGGCGGAATTTCTAAGCTGACATTGCGTTTGCATACAGCCGTTACCTTCCACTTCTTCTAGACGGTTTTAACCACTTGATTAAAATAATTTTACAATTTTGCCCCGCGATGTTTTTAGAATTAGCTACGAGGACACGTGGCAGCTTGCCTGAATTTTTTTTTTCCAGTAATATACCCGGCCTAAAATTTAATTTTCCCTGCTTGCTTACGATTCGAAAATATTACTTTTTTCCTTTTTTGGAGTAATGCCGGCCCGAGCGGGTTCAGGCGATCTCATACGGGCGAGGTCACGCCCAAGAAAAGGAAATTGCCTGCCCAGACTAGCTCGAGCATACCTAGGTGGCCCTAGTTCGATCCATCTGGACCGTTTACTTCACCAAACTGACGGCGGTCATTGATTCAATGTACAGTACTTCTAGCCAATGAATCATGATACCCTGATAATAAGAATCATTCGATTAGCATGTGATTTATGAGCATTTGCCCTCGTACACTTCGTCCCTTGATTGTACGAGGCTAAGTTGCGCGGATAGATCGCGTTTTGCTAAAACAGATAGTTTGACAAACATTTTCCCGACAATGGTCACTTGTATTACTTACGAAAAGAATGAACAAAAAAAAAAATTTAATTGTCCATGAAACGTTTATATGTAAATAGTTGTAAATAATAAAAATATTTTCAATTGACTAATTATTCCAAACGATACAAATGATCATTTTTTAAATATTTTTTAAAACATTCATTTTTCGCAAAATAAACGGAGCTTTCTAGAAAAAAAAACGGAGCTTTAAAAAAAAAAATCCTCGCGTAGAGTTCGATTTATGAGAGACTAGACCATGACAGTCGTCAGATTGGCTCGCACAGGATCTATTAGGATGAACGGCGGCGGTATAACTAAGCTCACGTGATCCCCGATGCATGCTAAAAGTTCCGCACCGGCGGACGGTGATTGGTCCGGCTACGTTTTAGATCCGAGCGGCTGAGGGGAGCGGTGGTCCCACCGGAAGCGGGATTCGGTAGGTTCGATCAGGAGGAGGACGTGAGGGCGACGTATGGTCAAATGATGGGGGCGAGGGCAGGTTAGAATTTCTCTTCGCGTGGGTGGAGGAGGAGAATTTTCCGGCCGTGGCGAGTTTTGCCTGTATCCTGCTTAAGCTCGACGCCGTGAAGACCTGCTTTGTTTTGTCCCAGAGAATTAAAAATTGAGAGACAAGACGGAGAGATTCGCGTGTACCTAAATCTGACAATTTGGGATCGAATTTGATGGTAAACGTTTCTCGCGTCATTGCTAGAGCATGTTCGGTCGATGTGGATTTCAATTTAATCATGCTGTGTCACGGTTCTGATTTGGTCAGTAAATTTATCTTTACTTATGTATGTGTACCTCGTGAAAAAGAAAACCTAGGAACGAAAAAACAGCAGTAATGCCTCGTTTCCTTTTGCTTAGGCCCAAGGGTTTTCGATATGACCCATTTGCAAGATAGGTAGCTAATTATATTCGACTCGAGTTTAAAGGGTTTGTATCATAAATGGAGCCAATCACTAGGTAGGCCCCGACCTTTACGATTTACTTTAAATCTTTGCTGGAGTCCGCCCGTAAAAGAAATAATTATACCTTAATTTTTGGCCTAGATTGGTTCGAGCTTTTCTCATTGAGTGCCATTGTCCAAGCTTGCCCAGAATGTCTTCTGGTTGAGGCTCGTGATCAGGTCTAGTCATAATGGGGTCGAACCTGTTTATACAGAAATGATAAACGTGTCATCTTCGAATTGACCCTTTCAACCTATATATGACATGCTTGTTAATAACACATTTAGTTAAACAAGTCAACATGCTATCCCTATCAACATCAATACATTAAAATATATTTATAGCCTATTTGGTATTGCTAGAGCATAAATATAATTGTAATGTACTCTAATTGTGCTATAGGAGAGATAGAGAACAACACACTTAAAGCTTTATAGTGGTTCGGCTTAGTGCAACTCTACATTCACTCTTTAAGAACAACATCCCATTTGTTGGATTCCACTAGCAATCTTTGAGTAATTACAGTAGTATGTGATGCTTATACTCAAGCACTTCTTCCTGAAATTGGTGTTGTTTATACCCAAACTGATAGATCTTATTATCTCATACCTAAACACAAACTATGACACTAATACACTTCTCAAGATATTACAATTTGAGTACACTCAGAAGATAATATAAGGGGAAAATTACCAAAAAAGTCATAAACTTTTTGCAATTGTGCCAATTCAGTCCTAAATCTTTTTTTTTGGCCAATTCAGTCCTAAACCTTTTGCAATTGTGCCAATTCAGCCTATCCGGCCACTTTTGGCCGGCCGGCGCTGACGTGGCTGCCGGCCGGTGCCACGTCAACCGACCGGCGTCCACGTGGCAATATTTTAATAATTTTTTTTATTTTCGAATTTTTTTCCTTTTTTTCTTTTCCTTCTCCCCCATGGCCTGTCCGGCCAGGGGGGAGGCTCGCCGGCGAGGGCGAGCTCCGCCTCACCGGAGCTGGGCGAGGCTCGCCCAGCGGCGGCGAGGGCCCAACTCGCCATGGCTGGGCGAGCTCCGCTCTTGCCGCCGTTAGGAGAGCCTCGCCCGGCTCCGGCGGCGGAGCTCGCCATGGCATGGTGAGCTCCGCCTCGCCGATCTCGGGCGAGGCGGAGCTCGCCTAGCCAAGGCGAGCTCGCCCGGCTCCGGCGAGGCGGAGCTCGCCATGGCCGGCGAGCTCGCCCTCGCCCGGATCCGGCGAGGCGGAGCTTGCCATGGCGAGGCGAGCTCCGGCGAGGTGGAGCTCGCCCGGCTCCGGTGAGGCGGAGCTCGCCTTGGATGGGCGAGCTCCGCCTCGCCGGAGCCGGGCGAGGCTCCCTAGCGGCGGCGAGGGTGGAGCTCGCCCGGCCATGGCGAGCCGGGCCCTCGCCGCCGCCGGCGAGCCTCGCCCGGCTCCGGCGAGGCGGAGCTCGCCTAGCGGCGGCGAGGGCCCAGCCGCCTCGCCGGAGCCGGGCCCTCGCCGGCGAGCCTCCCACGGCCGACAGGCCAGGGGGAGAAGGAAAAGAAAAAAAAAAGAAAAAAAGGAAAAAGATTTGGAAAATAAAAAAATATTAAAATATTGCCACGTGGACGCCGGCCGGCGCCACGTCACGTCGGCCGGCCGGCCACGTCGGCCCGGCCGGCCAAAAGTGGCCTGATGGACCAATTGCAAAAGGTTTAGGACTGAATTGGCACAATTGCAAAAGGTTTAGGACTTTTTTGGTAATTTTCCCTAATATAAGAATACAAAGCTTTCTCAAAAAATTGGATTTCTTGTGACTCTTGATCTCTTGCTTCTTCGATGTTTGTTGATCTCATTTTAAACTCCTCGGTATCCAATCTTTAGACAATCTTCACAAGGATCAATCTTTGTTGAGCAAATCAATCTAGCTATTGAAGTCAATCAATCTATGATTCCAAATATTTGGTCACCCATATAATCAGATCTTCTAGTTTCAAAACATAGAGTACCTCAAGCTATGAAAAGTACTTTGTCTCCAGAATAATTGTGAAACAATAAAATATCACATGTGATTGAAATTTTTGACATAGGTATTATTGAGATTGATAATCAATCAATTTCTTCAATTTGGAATTCAAGTCAGATCATCAGCTGTCGTAAATATTCAAATAAAAATAGTCATGAGATATTTTCATCCAGACTTTCAGAGCATGTGATAAAGCTGTTGTGCGGGTAATATAGTCGCTCCGCTCAGCTTTTCCCGGTTATATATGGTTTTCCAATTATATCAGGTTTCTTGGATATATTCAACTACGTCTCAATGGCCAACTTTGAGTACATTAGAAGTGTAGATCCTATGGTTTTTGTTCACCGTGGAACCTCCAAGTTTTTTCACGCTCTTCTAGACCACACAATTAGTTCATCCAATTTTCACAAATCTTTTTCCTTCGTACGTACAATTCCCCTTAAAAGCTAGTATTGCCTGAAATATAAATAACGTTTGCATTTATCTCGCTTGTAATTGTTTTGTCAACTTCAAAATATTCTAGAAGGTTTTCTCAACAAATTCAATGTTTTTCTGCAAATTTATCCTTATCTATACTTTCCTGGTAATGATTGTTCCCAGAATGACCCTTCACTGCCGTTATCGATTTATATCGATCCTCCATAATCTAAAAAATATTTCATCTTTTTTGGTGAAACAAGCAGATTTGTACTAAGGCATCCACAGTATTGCATATATACTAAACTACGTTTAGACCATTAAATTTAGTAGGGAGTTGTGTTGATCTCACGTGAATCCCATAAGAGATGATTCAAATATAGTTTAGTGTTGTTAAGAAGGGTGGGGAGTAGTGGCTAGTGCTAGCGACCCCCTTCAGGCTAGTGCTAGCGACCCCCTTCAGGCGTTACCATAAGGGTCCTTTTATCAATTATGAAATGCTTGTTGTGAGCACCGTGTCCCGAAGAATAAAGGTTGGCGAGTCCATCATTGTAATCCACTAAGATGCTAGTGATAAGGAAATCTCTCCACACGAGCTATTAGGGACGAGCATTGGACTGGAACGAACCGTGCTGGGCGGTTTCCAGTTCCTAAAATTTAGAATCGGTGATAATCGGTCCGATTCCTGATTTCATGGGCGGACCAAACCACTTGGACATGGTTGATAGTTTTTTTTATATATGTAATTGTTACTATTACAAAATATTTCTTAAAAGATGATTTGGGGGTGGTATGTATAATTTCGCATTCGCTTTGAGTCAAAACCCTAATTTCACATTCTCGCCACTTAGTCCCTCTCGGCTCTCGCTCAATCTCACGCCTCTCACTTCTCAGTCTCATGCGGTCACGCCTCCCTAAGTCTCTCTCACTCGATGCCTCCCTCTCACTCGACACCATCTCGAGTCTCGACTCTCGCCTCCCTCTCTTGTTCTTGCCTCTTAGTTCACCTCTCTCAGCTTGCAGACTCTCTCGCCAGTCGCCTCCCTCTCTCATTCTCGCCACTCAATTGTCGCTCTCTCGCTCTCGCCTCTCACTGGACTCACCGTCCATCGCTCCCTCTCCAATAAGTAACTTTCTCTGTCGTAATATATTAATTCTCGTGGCTGGGCTATTTATTTCAATGCCTTTTAAAACTCTTACATTAGGATGTGGATTATGGGAAATTGATGCTCCGACAATGGTCGAGAATGATTTAGTGCTTCTTCTATGTTTCCATATAAAGGGATTAATTATATATGGTTGAGAGTGTAGATTATCGGTAATTAGGAGCGAGCATGGTTCTAGGTAGAACCTTCATCGAAGAACCGGACCGGTGGAACCTGTTTGGTTCCAAGTTTCAGGATATGCAGGGTAGGTTCCAGGTTCCAAAAGTTGGGGAATTTGTTTCGACGGGTGGGTTCCAAGTTCTACGTAGGTGGAATTTGGAACAAGTTTTTATGTTTTTCTTGGTCTATGTCTTTGCGTGATCCTGCAGTATTCCATGGCGTCCGATGATGAGTATATAATTTGGAACCACTAGTTCGAGCTTCCATTTTATGACTGAGACTTTTACTTCGTTAATATTTTATATTTTTTGTGTGTCTAAATATAAGCTGTGGTCGGTGGATTGTAGTAACAAGTGGTGGTTATAAAGGTGATGGTTCACTACAATCGTTCAATTAATAATACAAGTGGAACCTAGGTAGACCTTGAAATCGAACCTGGAAATTACTATTTTGGAATCTGTGACAGAGTAGGTCTCAATGTACACAAGATAAGTCCCAAGTTTCAAAAAATGAGGAACTGTTCCAACAAATAGGTTTCAGGTGGAACTCGTACAAAACTAGGAACTGCTCACCTCTATCAGTAATCACGTCCGGTTTCTGGACCTACCTAGGCATCGGATGACTTATAAGTCCAGTTCCGATTCCAAGACCAGATGGGCTAATTCTAGGTCCCACAAAATAAAAACCGACCCTACTAATTTGGAACCGATCCACCCTTGAATCGGCCGCCCCTATGAACAACAACACAACCTATTTCCCTTTAGAGCCAACCAACTTGGCGGCGAGGCAAGCACAGTTTATTGCATCAAAGGCTCTCGGCAAATAACGTCCCGTCGACCTCCATCCACGTGGCCGATAACTACGCTTACCTGTCATCTCTGTCTCTCTCTGGCTTCCACTCCAGAACTTCCATAATAGGCTAAGCTCTATCTCGCGCTCCTTCTTCTTCTTCTTCTTCTTCTGCAAGTTTGTGACTTTGTGTGGTCGAAATCGCTTCTCTACTTAAACCACTCGCACCGGTCACGACTTCAACGCTCCTTCCCTCGCTTTCTCCGCCACCCCCAATTCTCTTTCCGAGCTCGACCGCCGCCGCGAAATGTCCGCGTCCTTCTTTTCGGTCCGCGCGGTCCGTCACCCCGGCTCCTTCGCCGGGGAAGAGCACGGCCCTCCGGCGGCCTCCGGCTGGCTCGCCTCCGGTTTCCTCGGATCCGCCGGGAAGCTTCGGTTCCGAGCCCTCTCCGTTTCCGCCCCCGCCCCCTCCTCCTCCGCTCGGCGTCGCGGGTCGTCCTCCGTCGTCGTCGCGGTTTCTTCGGATGTCGTCAAGGAGAAGAAGCTCAAGCCATCTTCGTCGTCGTCGTCGGATTTGGTAAAGATGGCCGCTTGCGATTTTGCTGATCACTGGTGTGAATTGTAGTAATCGAATAGAGCTGGTGAAGTTTTTGTTTATTTCTATGGGCAGCTTATTACGAAAGAGGAAGGATTGGAGCTCTACGAGGACATGGTTCTGGGCAGGAGTTTTGAGGATATGTGCGCTCAGATGTACTACAGAGGCAAGATGTTTGGCTTCGTCCACCTCTACAATGGCCAAGAGGCCGTATCCACTGGGTTCATCAAGCTCCTGAAGCAAGAAGATTGCGTGGTTAGTACGTACCGAGATCACGTTCATGCGCTGAGCAAAGGGGTTCCTGCTCGTGCGGTAATGAGCGAATTGTTCGGCAAGACAACCGGCTGCTGCAGGGGTCAAGGTGGCTCTATGCACATGTTCAGCAAAGAGCACAATTTGCTCGGCGGGTTTGCATTCATCGGCGAAGGGATTCCGATTGCCACTGGTGCTGCTTTCGCCTCGAAGTACAGGCGGGAGGTCTTGAAGGAAGCCGACTGCGATCATGTCACGGTCGCGTTCTTCGGAGACGGGACCTGTAACAATGGACAGTTCTATGAGTGCTTGAACATGGCCGCACTGTGGAAGCTGCCTATCGTGTTTGTGGTGGAAAACAATTTGTGGGCGATCGGGATGTCTCATCTGAGAGCGACTTCTGATCCGCAGATATGGAAGAAGGGGCCTGCGTTTGGAATGCCCGGTGTCCATGTGGATGGTATGGATGTGTTGAAGGTGAGGGAGGTTGCTAAGGAGGCTATTGGAAGAGCAAGGAGAGGGGAAGGACCTACATTGGTCGAATGCGAAACTTACAGATTTAGGGGACACTCTTTGGCCGATCCTGACGAGCTTCGTGATCCTGGTAAGCCTTCCTGTCCTATACCAATATTCATTGTCAGTTCGCATATAACGTGCAATTGCCATTACCGGCTATTATAGATATTAAGGTTAAACTTTTGCTTGCATGGATGTACTAACTTATAGATGGAGAATGTTTGAGTACGCACAGCCTGAGAGCCTGGACATACGGATTGTAGCTCTAGGATATGGGATAAGATCACATTAATTAATTCTAGGGGAAGATGGCCGAGACACTTACTGCTTTCAGAGCTTGCACCCCAGGGTGGAGCTAGCTGAGTGCATTGAGCTCAGTTGATGGTAAAAGTTCTGTTTAATTGAAATACTTAAAGTGGAATGGATCTTCAGTCAGGAAGACTTATTATATGGTCACATGGAGAACATTGATAATTTCAAGAGGGCCTAAATGAGCATCATGTGGAAGACTGAACTGGCAACCCTTGGCTCTTTGGAGCGTCTCTCTGTATTGTGATTTAGTAGTTGCAAATACTTGCTTAGATGGCATTCATTGGCGTTTCTTTCATCTGAACTTATACAATTCTTCCTCATGTGATAAGTAAGACATTCTCTTGCAAGGATCACTGAAGTCTCGAGAGGAAGTTGAGCTAGTCATCTTAGGTTGTTGGTTTTCAATTTGGACGTTAGTAAAAAACGAGGATCGAGAGCCTAGGAACCAAGGGCACTTGTGAAACTCGAGGGCTGAAGAAAAATTAGGATAGTGCTTTTAAAGGATAGGCTATTGAAGAGGGGAAATTGGTATATGTATTATATATGATCAGTACTGCGTTGGCAAATTAACTTAGGAAGGCACTCATGAAATCGAAATGGGAATCTTGATTGTTTAGTCATAGAAATGTGTCAAGAGATCATGTTAAGCAGTGATAGGAATTAAACTAGGTATCAAAATGGGGATGGATGAGTCATTGGCCCAAAGGAAAAAAAAGCAGAGAATGTTGGAATGAGGACCTATGTGCTTTGTCTTACAAGATAATGGAAAATTGAGGATTTGCTTAACTAATTTTGATATGATGTGATCTTAGAATCAATTAAGTGGAGCCAGCAAAGTAAGAATATGACTTGCTGGTAAGAGAAGTCCTGGCCCTGTTGTATAACCTCAGAATGATTTGAGAACACCCGAAGTAGTTGACTTACAGGGAAATATGGGATACTGGAAAATATGAAGAATGATACCAAGAAGGCAACAGAACTGAAAAGATCTTCAAGTTTACAGTGGATGTGGATGCGTTCAGGTGCAGTAGCATGAGATTCGAACTCGTATGGTAACATTCTTTCGAGTAGTGTATAAGATCGTTTTACGGGCTTGTCTCTATAATCCGATATGACATTTTAGTTGGTGATTTCAATGGGGATCTTCCTGTACTTGTGCATTTGGGCCATGTGACAGGACAATTTTTGTCATCATGGACAAAATCAACTGTGCTACAGTGCTACTCTCAGAATGCATTAGTGATGTTCACCCTCCTGAATTTCTTATTCTTCTAGTGAGACACATAATCACATACTTCAGATGTTCTTGGCTAATATATCTTTTATGTTATTTTGATTTGTCAGCTGAGAAGGCTTGCTATGCTGCAAGGGATCCCATCGTGGCCTTGAAGAAGTACATTCTTGAAAAAAATCTGGCACGTGAAGATGAGCTAAAAGCCATTGATAAGAAGATAGATGAGATTATAGAGGACTCTGTGGAATTTGCGGATGCAAGCCCTCCTCCACACAGAAGCCAGCTACTAGAGAACGTGTTTGCTGATCCTAAAGGCTTTGGTATCGGCCCTGATGGAAGATACCGCTGCGAGGACCCCAAATTCACAGCAGGGACTGCCCAAGTCTAAGCCTCTGCTATTTGTCGGTTCTCTTTGCTCCTTGTTTTAGCGTGTGTGAAAGGTATATGACACCCTTTTCCTTGTTAGATTATCTCCTCTTTCTTGTTATCTCCTCCTCCTCCTCCTCTTCCGCTTCGATTGCTCTTAGGTTTGCTACTTTGATTACTTTCAGCGCCCTGCCATTAGCTCCTCCTTAGCTTCGGTCAACATAGAATCATGTATGTGATCGAGCTGTTATAGGCTGGACGATAACTACTTAGATCATTTTCCTCTGCATTAAGTAAGTAGACCTGGCTGATTTATCTTTTGGATTTGCGAAGTGAACGTAGGGCTGTAGTAGTATAGTGGATAATCAAGCGGGAAAGGGAAGGGACTTTCTTTCATTTTGGTCGGATCGACGGCTTCGAATCTGTCAAATCCATTTGATTTCAAGCCATTAACATGAAAAAGAAGGGTTAACATAAGAACTTAGAAAGTGCTGGATGAACTCTTCCGCGGCACTATTCAAGATTTGAGATTCATCCACAACAGTGATATGATGATCAGAAGCCTCTTGACAAATAGTGTAGGAAGGATAAATTACGACCTTTATCAGTCAATGTTAGAACAGATATATATACTGAGTTTAGGAAAAATTATACTTTTCGACCCTATTTATTTTATGCGTTTTCTAATTAAACTCCTATATTTTTATATTTGTCTAATCAAATCCTTATACTTTTACAAGCTTTCTACTCGAGTTTCTCCAGTATCAAATCCAATCAATTTCAGCTGGCATGGCCGTGGGACAATGTCAAAGCATGATGCCGATATGGCTGTGTGGAAAAAGTTGGCCAATATAGACAGTGTCGAAATATGACGTGGATTAAATTTAGACAATGTGGAGCCTCACATGGACGGCATCATTCGAAAAATTTAATCCACGTCACAGTACGAGGTCATCCGTGAATCGCATCAACTGGATTGGGTTGGAGGGATTGGGTTGGAGGTGGCGTTGGTGGGACTTGATTAGAAAATTGGTAAAAGTAGAAGAAATTGAGACAAACTAAAAATACGGGGATTTGATTTTAAAAAGACGTGGATAGGGATGAAGGGTAAATTTTTTTGAATCTGTTGCTTTGGTTTCTTATCATTGACTTTGGAATTTATAAAGTCTTGTAAACCAGTGTTTTTGGGATACTCGTTAATCATATTTAGGCTCCATTAACATTTTCCAGAAAACGATTGCTTGTATCGATTATAATAATGAATAAACGAAAAATATTTTTATCGTCTACGAGAATATTTAGATATAAAATGTTGTCGATAATGAGAATATTTTCATTGCTAATTATTTTAAGCGATATATGTGGTCGTTTTTAGGAAAATATTTCTTGAGTCATTCATTTTTCGCGAAACAAACGGAGTTTGATAAAAAAATATTTTTCTTATCAATGCACGGATCACACATAATATTAGAAAAAAAGTATGTTGAAAATACCTTAAACATTAAGGGAAAAAGTCACGAAAAACCCCAAGTTATGCCCACTGTGATACATTCACGCTAAACCTTTTCTGTTGATATAAAAAATCTCAAACTTGTACCTATATGATACATTTACCCTCCGTCAAGATTATTTTAGATGATTTATCGATCAAAATAACGTCGTTTTTATTTCACTTAAACCACGTGGATATCTTGTCACTATTTGATTTCAGGGTAGGTAAATTTTTAACAATTCTCATTTATACAAATACAAATTTGTGATTTTTAGTGTCATTAAAAAAGACTTAATAAATGTGTCGTAAACTCGTAATAAGCATAATTTAGGGTTTTTGGTGTCTTTTGCGAGTGATAAAATCCATCCTCTTTGAACTTAGCAAGACCCTTGCCAGATTCGTCCCTTTTCGTTTGCTTTAATAAAGACGAAAAAGAACTTGTCGTGGGGGTAGATCATCATCCGGCGAGACATGATTTGCGGTCGGAACCCAGCCAGAGCACCGAAAGCGGGCAGGTTTCCATTAAAAAACAACGTGTGGCCAGGAATCTCAGAATCTAAGCAAAAAATCCTCGTTTCTTTTAACTGGTCTGAAAAGAGAGGACAAGTAGAAAACGCAAGCACCAATGGCAATGTTCGTCTTGGATACGCAAAGGTCGTCGCCATCCGGTAACGATGGTTCTTGGGGCATTCTCACGTCATGCGATTATCCCCGGTGAACGAACGTGAACCAGGAAACAAGAGATTTTTTCTTGGCTTTGGATTGGGTCGAATTTTGCAGCAGGCGTCTTCCCCATTTGAGGACAATTCTGCCTGAGATCGAAGCAGGATCTGCTAAAGGACTAGGATTCCTCCTCCCATCACTTTTGATTCGATTGCTCTTACCCTGTTGAACAAAACGTAGGAACATCTTGGCCAATTAGCCTGTTCTTTGTCTGGTTTGCAGACGATGGGGCTGTGGTTTCGGCGAGATGAATCGAGTCAACCCAGTATCGTTTTGACGGTCACGGAGTTTGCTGTTAAATTCCCAATCTTTAGTGATCGCCATGTCTCGCCATGCCATACCGATACGTAAAAGGAAAGATCCGACCCCAACCTTGTGTGACAACGGTACTAGAATGATTGACCTATCCCGAGCATTGTAAATTTTCGTGTGAGTTGCGCGACTGTTGCGGCATAAATGAAGTTTACAAGATTGACCCCACGTATCGAAGTAAGATTCGGTTATGCTGCTAACTTGTCCCTACTGACAACATACAGCACTTTATAACCTTCTTTATGCTAATCAAGCAGCTCCTACATGGTACAGCATGTTGTCCCCAGCAGTATTCAGGATTCGAGATCTATGCCGCTCGTCTCTTTTGGCTGAGACCAAGAGGCACAAGTGCAAGCATAGTAAGAAAGTGCAACATGGCACATGACCCCCTGCGTCTGTCTAGTGGGGGAACTGATGCATGTTTTCCGGAAAAAAAGTAAAGGGAGCACAATGTTTGAATTATGACCCACATGAGTCGACCAAGCTTCCCTTGAAATGTATAACTCATTGACATGGGTTGTCGGCCTGTCGATTGAATCCTATCCTAAATTCATGGCCACTTGACGACCCTTTCCGACGATGCTCCTTTCTTTGTGTTGTGGACCGACGTCGTGGATTGTGATCCAAGAGTCGAGTAGGGTAGTCATTGTATCAGTTCTCGCGATCAGGCCTAGTCCCCAATCTAGTTTCCCATCCACTGAATCGAGTGTCGGGTGGCTACAATTATCACAAGACGTCTGTAATAGTAACACGAGACATGTGTCTTGGGGCATGACATTTCAGGGAGAGATTTAAGATGAAAATGGGATGGGTCGAGAACTACACATCCCGAACCCCGAACCCTGAACAGAGTAGTGTCCTGATCGAACTTGAAAATGGATTTCGAATCGAGCCGAGTAAAATCTCAAATATTGAATTGTATCGGCTCGACTCTATTCGCTTTTTAAAGGGCAGCGTAACTGACAAGACACACAGCCAATGAAACTTTCTCAGTACGACCACTTCCTGTTCGAAGAAAGTCACCGAAAGCTGTCACCCGCCTCTTCCCACGAGGCTTGACTGCGTCAAGCGGCGGCTGCTCTGCCCCGGCAAGTGGGCCGCCGCCGGTCGGACCCCACCACGAGCCGTCTTCCACCACCCCCGCTCTTTCCCAAAGGACCCCGTCGCTCCTATATATATATCGACGCCTCTTCCAAGCTCTCTCCTCATCCATCGTCCAAATCATCAATCCCAACTCGACCAAGTTCCTCTTCTCTCTCTCGAAAAATTCGAAGCCTTTCTCGGATTCAGAGAGGGACCCAGATGAACTCGATGTTCAGCTCCTTCGACGCCCTGTGCGGGGAGCTCCTGGGCCACGCCGTCGGGTCCAACTTCGCCTCCGCCGCTCGTTCGACGCGACCGAGCGCTCCGAGCAAGAGCCGCGAACCGAAGAAGCAGCCGGCGCCGCCGCAGCCGAAGCCGCAGCCGACGAAGGAGAGCGGTCGGCGGGTCGCGCCGAGGTTCGCGCCGGAGCTGGATGGCCTGAACAGCTTCGAGACCCTGGTTTCTTGCTGACGGCGGCGGAATGGAGCGACTGCGTTCCTTTTTGGGCCCTTTATTAGCCATAGAGATTGTACAGTAGCAGATCGATATGTAACGATTGCTTGATTCGTTGGGTGGTTCTTCTTCTCGGGATGTGTTTCGGCCTTTCGTGGAAGTATGAAAAGCTGGTTCGATCGTGTTTCTCTTCGTTCCACAGTTCCGCAGTACATCGATGATCTTTCGAAGTTTTGGATTGCTGCTGTTTCGTTTGCAGAGAGAGGTTGAGCATGGCATCAGTGTCGAAGCTGATTCATGCCGTACTCGACAAGCAAGATTGAACGCTCAGCTACTTCTCGGCACTTGCCCTCCGTTCTTCCATTAATTGCATGAGAAACGACGAAAGGTGATTTCGACCGACCGATCCTCCGTCGGCGCGCCGTTGTTGCGCCAACGGATACATGTAACATCGACCGATGAGAACCCGAACTGTTGGATTCGATATCGCTTTGTTGTAATCTCGTTCTATGCAGAACGAGCATGATTAACAGAGCCATTCATATGATCACGATAAGATTACAAATCCACTCTTGTCGAATGAAAAATTAACTGCGATTGTGATTTAGTCCCAAGTTTGAATTTACGAATCTAAAACACGTCCAACAATGCATCAGGCCGGATTAACATTTCAATAGGCTAACGAAGTGATGACACTTCGCTAGGAAGGCCGGCGTGGGTGGGGTATGACCAAGGCTGGCGACCCTCGCCGACAGCAAGTGAGGGCCCAAACCTGGCTGAGGGCCACCATTGGTGGAGGTCGGCCACCAGTGGCGGTCCTCGTCAAGGTCTGGGCGAGAGCCGATGTCAAAGAGAGAATTTTTTAAAAAACTGTATCAGCATTTTTCGTTAGTCAAGTTAGGCGAAGTTAACGGAAAAACTTGATTATACAGATTTGATAAGTTTTAAGATTTAATTACATTTTTTTGTAAATTTTATGACTCGATTACACTTTCATGATAAGTTTTAAGACTTTTAGCGCACTTATCCCTTGAAAAAAAAATACAAAAGGAAAGAAGAGCAAGTATTTGACCAGTGGATTACAGGTGCTGATTGACAAGTAATTGCTTTTGTGGATTTGAGTTGCGTCATCCCACTGCACTGCCAAAGGCACATCAGTGAATAAACATTTTCAGGATGAAAAAAATACTGTCGGATCTAACTTTCTAGCTGACTCATGAAGGTGTCAATTCTAGCTAAGCACGATAACAGCACAACTGAACTAGTCCTTAACCATGGCCAAAGAACTAATCATTATCCAAAATGACCAAAATTTTATCATGAATACTCTCTGCAATTGTAGTACAAAAGTGGGAGGAACCAACAACCAGGCACAACCATTTATTCAGTTAATCATACATTCATGACAAAAAATCCCTGCACACCTTCCACAAAAATATTGTAATATGGGGGGCCAAAGAAAATTCTTTTGCCATATACTTACGATTCATCATATGCTAAATATCCGAGCAGTGTCACTAATCCAAGACGAGGGCTCAAAGGAGCCTATCGACTTCAGAGGTCTTGCATTCGTCAACAGAAATGCCTTCAGGTCTATACTACACTAATAAGCTCCAGTCACGATTAATCCGTACATAAAATAGCATTCGTCCCCTGCTGCTCCAATGATAAATTTC